TCATTCATTACATTTTCAGGTGTCAATTCAATTCATTTATTCAAGGTTCAAGGTCCTTTATTTGTCATTCCACCACATGTGGTACATGTGGTGGAACGAAATTATGTTCTCAGGGTCCCAGTTACATCCACCAATAAAATGTAAAAGAAAAACAGTGATAAGATCAAAGTTATGAACTAAGAAGAACATCAACTAAATATACACAAAGTACTAATAGCGTAAAAACAATACGTGGAACAGCAGCACGAACATGAGTCTGTGTGAGCAGATGAGCACACATGAACACATCCATGTCACAACAGAAGTAATCTCAGGGCACTGAACAGAAACATGCACATACATAAAAAAACAAGTTAACACTTATAACGGGTGTTAACAGGTGTCAGAAAAAACAAAAAGTCCGGATGCAAAGAAGTGTCCAGTCAAGGATGGTTTTGATCATTAAAGGCTTTATGACCTGTGGACACAAGACTGGTCCCAGAAACAACCATGTGAAAATGTTTCAATCTCCAGATCAGTATCTCTCTCAGATTAATGGACTGATACAAACTCAAGTCTTTAGAGAAAAATCCAACCAGTGTTTCTACCTCAGTATCATCAACCTGCATCAACCTGCTGGGTGGAAGAGACAAAGAAGGCTTTCTTTAGTAGAGACCTGAAGAAATGGCTCCATGTGCAGGCATTCCTCCTGACGCACCCCAATCTCTCCCTTTACTAACTCTGGACAGAAACCAGTAGGTCACAGAACCAGTGAGAGGAGTTATCACAGTTTCCCCTCCAGCAGGACTCCACTGACAAAACAAATATATAAAACTGTGTTTACTTTAAAAAGCATTTTTCTTCTTTACTATATCTATATAGTATCTAGATATAGTAAATGTGAACCTTTTACCAAAGTTCCTTTATCTATTCCAGGCTTTGCCTATACAGGTACCTACTAAACAGTTCAGTGATTGGGATAGAATAATCTCAAACTTTATTTGGGTTAAACAAAAACTAAGAGTAAAATTCCAGATGCTACAATTGTCAAAAGAAAAAG